TGGAGCATCAAAACAGGGGCTGTTTAAAATTACTGACACTGCCAAACCATTGGAGAATTTAGGGTTTTAATTGTCAGTACCATACAATGCTGACAACCACTAACTTACTACTTTACCTAACCAAAATTCAAGGTTTAAACTGTGATTAACCATGGTTACTTTAACTTTTGTCATAGTCCTGACCCTTCTGGAGCATTTATAGACAAGCCCATGAAAAATGACTGTGACAAGTGCTTATCTATCAGCCAGGACAGACATTCCTCAGTAGGAGTCATTTCGTATTTTCCTTGTGAAAACTATAACTGCTGCCTGCCGGTTCTCTACAGCAATTTAAAGGTGTCGTACATCCCCTATGGGACAAAAAATTAGATTTAATTAAGCCCAGCCTAAGAGCCATTTTTTAATAAACCTTATTGTTGCTTAATTTGGCCAAAATGGTCGCATTGGCACTGACTTCTGATCTGTTTGATGGGTCACTCCCCCTCCTCTGTGGGACAAAAATCTAACTTTCTGGACTTCCCAGGGGAAGCCACTCCTGCTATGTGGATAAAACTGCCAAATTAACAGAATCTTCAGAGACAACTGTTCAGAGGAACAATTTAAGAGGAAGCAACCGCGAACAGTCGGTGTCCCCCCAACTTCTAAGAGGAACAAGTGGTCTACAGCTACCTAAGACAGTTCAAAAGGATGGCACAAATGAGGGGACTTCTCCAGATCGAGTCAATTATGCCAGACCTCTAAAAGTAACCAAAGCCAAGAGATTGTAAAAAGGCACTCTTATGCATGTGCTGTCATATTTCAGCTGAAGGCTCTGACAACAGGTAACCCGTGCCCTTGGCAAGGTCTTCTGTTTAAGCAAAGGCAATATAACTTTCAACGGTTCTAGCCTCTGCTTGGGGACAGTAAGTCTTCTTTCTGTACAAAGCTGACCCTTTGATGTTACCCTCTAAGTGGAGTGGCACCTGCCCCCTGGTACACATGGCCCCTAATGTAGCTATTGCCCCAAACAATCAATCCTTAACTGCTCATTACAGTGGTAATCCAAAACAGAAGGCCAGCTAAGAGCTGAAAATAGTACCAGTATAAATACCTTTAGGCAAAGTAACCATAAAACTCTGTCACTTTTCAAAATTACTTTATCCTTCCTGCCACACCTCACAGGGCCCCTTTTGATGCTCCTAGCAGTGTTCATGTTTGGACCATGCCTTCTAAAGCAGATTCATCTCTTCCAGGATAAAAGCCTTTAGGACTCAAATCATGAGGCAACAGGACTACTATCTCTTCAAACAAACAAACGTGATCTCTAGGAGCAACCCAGATCTCCGTGAGGAACCTTGACTGTGCTAGACGATCAGACACCTTGTGTCCAAACGAGCCCCAAGGGAAAGAAGTAGGAGAGACAATTTCTCCTTGCAGATAGGGTCTACTGCCCCTTGTCAGCTCAAAGTGAAGAGGAAGAGAGCCTTGAAACAGGGCCATAAAACACAGTAAACTGTCAATTAAAAGCTGTAACCTCAGACAGAACTGTGAGAGAGCCATGCAAAAGTTCAGGACTGAGATGAAAGGCACCATGCAGAGATAAGCACCCATTCCTGCCTTTCTTTGTCTCTACTTGTAAATAAACTTTCCAAAGCAGGCCTCCCTTGCTGTTCTTATCTAAACAACATTAGGTCCCTAGCTCACTACCAGCCCAATTAACCTAAACAATCTAACTCACTGGTTAGAACACCCATAACCTGAGCTCATCTTTGTAACCTGATGCCCTGCACTGCCTTTTAAATATCCTGTGAATCCTTTGTTCAGGACTCAGACGCAGGTACACGTCTGGGCCCGCTGGCGTAAAAAATAAAATCTGAGTTCTCCACTCCTCCGAGTGTCGCTTGGTTTCTCCTCTGACTATATTGCCACAACAAAAGCAGATACTGAAGATGGACCAGCCCCTTCAGCAACCCCCCAAAAAGAATTTTTTGGAATATTGTCTCTCAGGGGGAATTTGAGGCAGGCTAGAAGAAGGAACTTAAGCTCAGGGATGGCCCAGACCACCTGTACCTGGCCAGGAACTGCCATGCTCCTCCCCACTCACTGATTATGGATGAGACTCTGCTGGTTTCCCCTTCCCATAGATTAGCAGAAGTTTTAAAAGCTCCTGAAAGAAAAGCATGCTCTCTGCAGGCAGACTCCACCTGCACCCACCATGCTCCCTGTGTATTTCCCTTCCCCAGCATTCAATAAACCCCATGTGTTCTGCTTGGATTCTTCCATGCCAGAGCCAAGGCCTTCAGGAAACACCATTTGCTGTTAACAATGAGGACCCTGCAACTCAAGCGTCCTTACCCCATATCCATCCCTGCCTCCAGGAGAGGAAGGCTGAGCTTCCTCTGCCAAGGTTGTCAAAAGCCTCACTCTGAGGTTTTGGGAAATTTTTTGCTTATTTTGTTACTAATTGGCTTTGAGATTTTCCTCCTGAAAACTCAGGATGAGGGCTGTGTCCACTCTCTCTGAAATTCTCTGTATTTCTCCCTGGGGGGAGGGGGGAGTGTGTCCACAGAAGAAGGCAAAACTGTAATAGGCGTTTGAGTGTCTCTGTTCAGCCTGGACTTTGCCGAACATTGTATCAGCCAAACCCGGGCACAAGAAATCCTCCACGAGGCACACGTTGTTTCTGTGTCTCTTGCCACATGTCAGTTTATTGAGCAACTGTTAAACACCAGCCCCTGTCCCAGGTGGGGTGACACAGTGCTGACGGCTCAAGGCACCTGCTCCAGCCGAGTCCAGGGAAGGTTGGTGTCTGAGTTCTGAGCACAAAGTCTGGCTACAGCTCCCTCCTGATGGCTCTCCAGCCTCCTGCCCCATTAGCACATCCAGGAAATGTCAGTCCCCTGTGTCACCTGAGCTCATCACCAGAGCATCAGAAGCAAGTACGTGGCAGAATTTGCACACTGAACTCATGTTTGTAAGCAACTCGACTGTTTCCTTTACGGGCTGAGCCCTGTCCTGTACCAGGCCCTGGAGTTGAAGCTAACCAAACCTTACCCTTAAGAAGCTGCTCATCAGGTTGGGGAGATGGGCAAGCCTTGCACTCAAAGGTCACTTCCTCCTGGAGGCCTTCTGGGATTCCCTTTGAGTCAAGTTTTTGGTCACTACTCCCATTGCTCTATTTGTTTTTGTTTTTGTTTTTTGAGGGGGGGGTATGTTAGAGGCACTGGGGATTTGAACTCAGGACTTCTTGATTGCTAGGCAAGCATTACCACTTGAACCATGCCTCCAGTTCTTTTCTTTTCTTTTTTTCAGATAGGGTCGTTGTGTTAGCTTTGTGAGTTTTCTTTTCTTTTTTTCTAGGCAGCACTGGTGTTTGAACTTACAGGCCTCATGCTTGCTAGGCAGTCACTACCACCTGAGCCACTCCACCAGCCCATTTTTCTTTTCTTTGTGGTGCTGGAGGTGGAACCATATCCTTGAGCAGTGGAGGCAAACACTCTGCCACTTGAGCCACGCTCTTTTTTGTTTGTATTTTGTTATTGAAATGGGGTCCTGCTGATTTTGGCCAGACTGGCCTCTGACTTGAGACCCTTCTGCCTCCACCTCTAGAGTAGCTGGGATTACAGTCATGTGCCCCCACACTCAGCTCTGTCAAGCACTCGTAAGTGCTGTGGATGTGTTAATTCTCCCACAACCCTGGCTCTTATTGTTATGTAGCTCATAGAATGACAGAGAGGTCCAGTGACTTGCCCTAGGTCACAATGCCAGCGAGAGATTTGGACACAGATGATTTCATTCCAGACCCTTGCTCCAGACCAGGACCCAACAGTGCAAAGCCATTCAAGGAGTGTCCAGTGCAAGCTTGAGAAGCAGGCCTGCGGACAACAGAGTGAGTGCCCAGTTAACCTTTGTCCGTAGGTGGAGGGGCACTTAGGATGGGTCTTGAAGGGTGACTAAGAGTTCATCAGAAAAAGAAAGATATAGAGAAACTCATTCACTCATTCAAGTGACATCTCCTGAGGACTCATGACAGCCCTGCCTAGAACTGGCTGATCCCAGGGACATGGAGATGAGTCAGATCTGAGCTTGGCTCTCCAAGGCTCCCACCTGGGAGGAAGAAGGGGCAGGGAAGACAATGTGATCCCAAGAACACTAGAGGGGGAGGGGTAACTGCAGCAAATGTTCTAGGGAATTGGCAGATCTGGTGATATTAGGAAAGAGGGTGGGGCGCTGGGTCTCAGGCAGGTGGGGCCTGCAGTGAATTGACACCTGGGTCTTGGGGTGTTGGGACTGTGGAGAAGGGGCAGGTTTTGCAAGAGTGGGTTCATCCAGATGGGCAGATTTCTCAGCTTGTAGGACAGGCCTCCATGCTGGTGGGAAGGAACCCAATCTCCCCAGGGCAGGGAGTTGTCCTGTGGGCCCAGCAGCTCTCTGCAGCCTCTGCCTCTTTCTAGGTTTCTCTCAGTCTTTCTGATCTCTCTCTCTCCTCCCCTTCCTCCTCTTGCCTGGGCCCTCCTGCTCTCTATCTCCATCCCTTCTTTCTTTCCCTCCCTTTTCGCCCACACTTTATTGAGTCTGCCTTCTTTCCTCTGAGTTTCCCTCCAGTCCTATAAGGCTAGTGGTGTTTGATCCAAAAGTAAACCTGGTTCCCTGCCAGAGTTCTGCCTTAGGGATCTTTCTCCTCCTCCAGGACACAGAATATTTTGGATGCAGCTCCTGCAGCCCCAGGTCATGAGAATGGGGCTCCCCTCCCCCACAGGAGGCGCCCACCGTCTTTCTACACCCAGCACCCCTTCCCCCATTCATCTCCACCTGGGTGCATCCCTATAGGGGAGACTCAGGCATCTCCCTCCTCTTCCCAGGACCCCATCTGCCCCAGGGCTTCCCCCTCCCCCAGGCACGTTTCCCAACCCTGATTAATCACAGGGGCGGCCCCAGAGAGGAGGAAGGAGATGGCATTGCTTACAATAAAGGAGCGAAGAGTGCCAAGTGCTTGGGCTGGAGGAGCCAGGCCTAAGGTCATGAAGCTGGGACTCACCTGGGCTCTGCTGTCCCTCCTAGCAGGTGAGCCGTCCATTCCCGCACCCCCCACCCCTAGCCTTTGGTCTTTACCCTCTGGGCATCCCAGCAACACTCCCAGGTCACTGACCCCTCTCCTTCCACCAAACGCCAGGGCACAGCAGTGCAGAAACCCGCGCCATCGGGGCTGAGGAATGTCCCCGCAACTCGCAGCCTTGGCAAGCGGGCCTTTTCTACCTCACCAGGCTCTTCTGTGGAGCAACCCTCATCAGTGACCGCTGGTTACTCACAGCTGCCCACTGCCGAAAGCCGTGAGTGACCCGGGCTGGCCCCAATGGGAGGTGGGCTGGGAGACAGAGGGGGAGATGGGGATGGGGACAGGAGCTACCACTGCTGGTAACAAATCCCAGCACTTAGGATTATGCAGGGCAGCCTTCCCCAATTTCAAAATTCCATAGAATAAATACCTTGCTCTTAAGAATCCAAGATTCAAGCTGGGTGTCCTTGTCTCAGGCCTGTAATCCCAGCTATTTGGAAGGCTGAGATCTAGAGGGTCAAGGTTCAAGGTCAGCCCAGGCAAATTGTTGGCAAGAACCGATCTCCAAAATAACCAGAGCAAAATGAACTGGAGGTGTGGCTCAAGCAGTAAAGCACCTGCTTTGCAAGTGAGAAGCCCTGAGTTCACCCCAGTCCCACCCCGAAAAAGAATCCAATATTCAAAGCACACACTCTTTAACTCCTAGATGCTGACCTTCAGATATGTAGCATCTGAGGATCCTAAAATTTTGAACCCATGAAATTCTAGAATCCTATATTCACAAACTTTAGAATCCCTACCCTCTGCACAGCAGTGGAGCTGGAGTGGTCGCTACAGGTATAAGCCAAAGTTCTCTGGTAGGCACATTCAAAAAGTAAAAAAAAATGAGCGAAGTTAATTTTAAGAATAGCTCTCTAACTGGACATACCCAAAATATGGTTTGGGCATTTAATTACTTTTAAATGTATTACTTTTTCTTTTCCTTTTTTTTGTTTTTGTTTGTTTGTTTTTTGGTGGCACTGGGGTTTGAACTCATGGCCTCATGCTTGCTAGGGAGGCACTCTACCACTTGAGCCACTCTGACAGTCTTCCAGCATGCATTTTACGTGAATGCTACCTCTCAATTTGGAGTGACCACATTTCAGGCGCCCAGTGGTGGTGACAGCTACCTTGATCCTTCAATCTTCGATCCACCCTGGTCTAGGTTCATTAAATATAGACACATACAGTCTTAGAGGTTTCTTTAACAATAACCTAGAACGCCATGTTGCAAAGAATTCTAGAACCTTGAACCAAGAGAATTCCAGAAGACTCTGGGTATAAACATGTAGAATCTGGTGATTTCATACCCCAGAATTCTATCACCATTTGAATCATAAACTCTTAAATTTCTACAATCACATATCTATAGAATTCTAGAATGATGAAGTTCTAGTCTTCCTGTCAGAAAATATTAGAATTCTGGACTCTTGAAGTCTTAGATTTAATGCAGGTAATTTTGGAATCTGGGAAGTTCTTTTTCTTTCTTTCTTTTTTTTGGTTCTTGTGGGGTTTGAACTCAGGGCTTTGAGCGTGCTAGGCAGGTGCTCTACCATTTGAGCCACTCCAGCAGCCCTGAAAATCCTGGGCTTTTGAACCTGAGAAATATGGAATGTTAGAACTTTGTATCCATAAAATTCTGAAAGTGGATCTTCTCAGAATTCTAGAACCATGGCTATTAAGGTGTTAGAATCTTAGAATTCTAGAATCTTAGATTCCAGGAATTCCAATTCTACCAGAATGCTAGACACTACGTGAGCCAGGACCCTATGTATTTGTTTGTTTGGGTTGTTTGTTTGTTTTTTGTGTCACAAACTCACTATGCAATCCAGGCTCACCTCAAACTCATTATATGCCCCAAGCTGGTCTTGAACTCCTGATCTTCCTTTCTCAGCCTCCCGAGTGCTGGGATATCAGGCATGCTCCATCATGCCTGGCTTAGGAATCCTCTCTGCATTATCTCTAAACAAGGGCCATGCAGACTGTTGTAATGTTCTTCCCTCCACAAATGAAGCACAAATGCTAGAACAGGATGCTGTGTGGGAATTTCCCATCATGCCTTGCTCCACGATGAACCCTGTACCTCAGGCTAGGAGAACAATGCTTAGAGTTAGCCCCAAAGAGAAGAGGAGAAAATAGAGATATGGAGATGAGAGAGACTCAGAGGCAAGATGGGAGTGAAGAGGTTAAATTTCCAACTCAGAGCCAAGGCCATGAGGTGTCAGGGACAGACAGAGGGACAGATAGAACATCTTGTATCCCCAAACCCTGAATTCTCAGTCATTACCCTGGTGATTCATGTTGGAGGTTAGAGGCTGGGGGTGGACATAGCGACCCACGGAGCACACCCAAATGTCTAGATATGGACTAAGCAGAACAAATGAGCTGAAACTGGAGCAAGTGAGCCTAAGACTAGACATCAGGAAGAAATGCTTGAGGACAGGGGTTGAAGTATATGACAAATAGGAAATGCCTGAGGTCACAGATGAACCCCACTTTTTGGGATATTACAAATCCATCCCCCTCCACACACACACCCCAAAACACACTTAGCACCACTCCCATAAAAGCCACCAGACCTGTGGGGACAGGGGGTGGGGTTGTTATTGCATGGTGGGTGGAGCCCCCAGGTACCCACAAGGTTCTAGGGACATTCTCAGGTCACCACTGAGGCTCCAGGTGGGGCAGGGAGGAAGGTGGCTCACCCAGCATGGTAGATAGGAGGGAGGGAAGACCTACAAAGGTAGAGGCATTCAAAAGCCAGACAGAGGCCAGAGACCTAGAGAGGGTGTGTGACTTGTGGAGGGTCATCCAGCACCCTAATGGACAGAAAAAGAGATGGGCTGAGAAGACCTCCACTTGCCCCAGCTTGACCTCTGAAATCTGTTCCAGCAGGTACCTGTGGGTCCGCCTTGGGGAGCACCACCTCTGGCGGTGGGAGGGATCAGAACAGCTCTTCCGGGTCACTGACTTCTTCCCTCATCCTGGCTTCAACGAGGACCTGAGTGCCAATGACCACAACGATGACATCATGCTGGTCCGACTGCCCAGGCCAGCACGTCTAGGGTCTGCTGTGAAACCCATCAAGATCAGCGAGTCCTATGCAACCCCAGGCACTGGGTGCCTCATCTCAGGCTGGGGTGCCGTTTCCAGCCCCAAGGGTATGTTCTTATCCATGATATTTCATGGCATTATGTCCCAAGGCCTAGGCTGGGCTCCCCTGATGCCTGGTCCTCTCTTCTTTCCTCATCTCTTCTCTGCTCTCCTCTTCCCTCATTTTTCTTCCCCTCCCCTCCCCTCCTTTTCTCTCCCCTCCCCCTCCTTCCCTTCTCTTCTCTCCCCTCCCCTTCCCTTCTCCTTCTTTCTCTTCTTTCTCTCTCTTTCTCCCTCTCCCTCTCACTGTGTTTATCCACCTACTTATATACCAATATATTTCATAAAATGTAAAGTGTCATGGATTTTGGGGGTATCAGTATTTTAAGAACTATTAAGAATGGGGGGAAATGCCAGGCATGATGGTACACACCTATAATCTCAGCACTTGGGAAGCTACAACAGGAGGTCTGCCTAGGCTATATTTGGAGACACTGTCTCAAGAAAAAAATGGGAAAAAAAGATCTCGTTGATGGTAAGGACAGGAGGAAGACACAACCCTATTTCAGAGACATTTAAATGTGAACGTATGTGTATCTTAAAAATGAAATAAACCTGCATCTCTGAGTCACAAACTGGTATTAGATCAGTTAGGCTTGTCACATACTAATATTAATTAATATTAATAACTGAGATTTCTGCTGTTCTTTTTCAAAGAGTCTTCAAAATTACTGAAAAACTGGGGGACTTTATTTACAAACCCAGTTTTCTGGATTCACTTGAAACACTCAAAGAACTGGGCTGGAGGTGTAGCTCAGTGGTAGAACTCTTGCCTAGCATGTGCAAGGCCCCACCAAGTACTGGAGACAAAATAGCACCCTCTGGGCAGTCAGTAGAGGCTGCGCCCTAGACAAGGGCTCCCAGATCCTCCCCAGTTCACCCCACTGGCTGCTGGCTGCCAGCACAGGCCCATCCCTTCTGCCACTGGTATTTACCCAGCAATACCTCAGTGCAATCAAGGATGTCCCCACATGTTATGAAGACACAAACATGCTTATCTATACCCCTAATCGTCTATGTTTTCTTTCCCAAACAGTGAAGTACCCGCTCACGCTGCAGTGTGCCAACATCAGCATCTTGGAAAACAAGCTTTGTCACTGGGCATACCCTGGTCACATCTCTGACAGCATGATATGTGCTGGCCTGTGGGAGGGGGGCCGAGGCTCCTGCCAGGTAAGATCTGCTTGGGAGAAGGTGAGACAGGCAGGGCAGTTTGCTGGGTCCTGGGGGAGATGGCTGGAGCCCCAGACTCCTGGACCTAAGCAAGGAAGGGACTGAGGGTCCAGACTGAGTCCTGGAAGAGGAGAGGGCTAGGAGCTCAGAATGTTATGTCCTAGTGGGTGATACTTGGGAATCTCTGAGCTTTTACTCCTGGGCCTGAGGGAGCAGAGACTGGACACCTGAACTCCTGAGTGTTGAGGAGGAGCAAACTGGGGTCTTCCCAGGAAGGTAAAGTAGCCGCTGTAATTCTCATGGAGAGACCTGCCTAACAATTTTTCTGCTCTTTTCTCATGCACAGGGTGACTCTGGGGGCCCCCTGGTTTGCAATGGGACCCTGGCAGGTGTGGTGTCTGGGGGCTCTGAGCCCTGCTCCAGACCTGGGCGCCCTGCCGTCTATACAAGCACATTCCACTATGTGGACTGGATTCGAAAAACCATGGAGGAGAACTGAGCCTTTGCATCACGGATGACCTGAGAGGAGGGTGGACCCTGGGTAGGGAGTTACTGCAGGGCTCCAACTCAGTAGTCTCAGCCCTCGACCTCCTGCTGTGTGGTCACCAAGCCCTGGACACTCAGATTCCTCCCCCTCAGGATCCCCCCAGAGTCAAGTCCACCAGGATCAAGCCACGCCCCCTAAGAAGCAAGCAGGGGCATGCTTCTGTCTCACGTGTGCCAGGCTCCATGACGTCACCGACACTGGCTCCACCTCCCGGAACAGCCCAATCCGGTAGCTCCACCCCACGAAACAACTTCCAATGAATAGTTCCCTCCCTCCAATACTGCCCAATGGGACTTCCTCTCCTCAGGGGCGCCACTCTTTTTGGCCACGCCTCCTCCGTCAGAGATCCCGCCCCCTGTGATGTCAGAAGCGCAGTAGCTCCGCCCACTTGGAATTCTGGCAGGCTCCGCCTCGCACCCTGACCTGGGCATGTCCAGGGTTTGAATCCAGGGAGAAGTTGGTGTCGGGGATTAACGATCATTTCAGAGTTAATGGATGATTTACAATAAACGTGGTGGGGACCACACCTTTCTTCTGTCAGTTGTGCGTGAGGGGCGGCCAACTGGTGGGCGGTGAAAGGCAAATGAGGTTCACCACTGCCAAGTTGCAGCCCCCCCACTAGAGTCCTCCCTGATGTCGGTCTCCATCAGCCCTACTGCAGGCAGCAAGGCTCTTAAGTTCCACTGGGACTGGTCCCGCCTCCGCACCCAGGGGAAGGGGAAACCAGGTCAAGGTGCCTCCCAAACCTGCCTTCCCAGATCCCCACCTCTCTGAGCCCTGGGCGGGGCAATCTGTCCTCAGATGTCCTATCCACGAAGACCCGCCTCACTTTCATTATGGGTTATTGGTAGCAGCCCCCTTCTCCACCAGAATCATAGTCCAAGCCCTCCCTTCTAAAGCACTAGACAACTCAGCCCCAGTCCTCCTCCCTCAGACCCAGGAGACCAAGACCCCAGCCCCCCTCCCTCAGACCCAGGAGACCAAGACCCCAACCCTCCTCCCTCAGGCTCAGGGGTCCAGGCCCCAGCCTCCTCCCTCAGATCCTGGAGTACAGGTCCCAGCTTCCTCCCTCAGACCCAGTGGTCCAGAACCCAGCTCTCCTCCCTCAGACCCAGAAGACCAAGACCCCAGCCTCCTCCCTCAGACCCAGGGGTCCAGGCCCAGCCTCCTCCCTCAGACCCAGGGGTCCCAGCCCCAGTTCTTTCACACCTGGAGTCCCAGCATTGAGCCCCTCCTGTCCCTCACCTCAGGAGTCCAAGATTCCAGCCTCTCCTCCCTCAGCCTTTCGGTCCAGCCCCTCCGCCCCTCCACTCACACACCCAGATGCTTCTGGGGCTCAGGTGCTGGCGAGGAGGCGGGGCGGGGGGCGGGGCCTGCCAGTTAAAAGGCTTCAGAATCTTGTAGCAGGCAGACGGAACGCAGGTACTGGGGCCTCTTCCACTGAATCCGAGTTAGGAGGTGACCCCACCCCTGGATTCTGGAAGGTGAGGTGCAGAGGTCCTCAGACACAGGTCTCAGGCCCAGGGATCTCTCCTCTCCAGTGCCCAGGACCCCAGACTCAGACCCCTTTTACCTCAAGACCCCAACCAGGACCAGGGCTCCCTCCTCCCAAAGATTTAGGAGTCCCAGTCCCCAACACCTCCTCCCTTCAGAGTCATTAACCAAACCGGGAATGTGGAGTCTAGTGTGGCACCCTCACCCCCACACTTGGATTCAGCAATCTGGGGTCTCTGTCCCTTTCTTCCTGGAATCCAGCTCCTTCCTCCTCTCACCCACACTCTCTTGCTCAGAAGCCACCATGGGACGCCCCCCGCCCCGTGCAGCCCTGGCGTGGACCATCCTGTTCTTGCTGTTGGGAACCTGGGCAGGTGAGGGGGGCAGGGGACTCAACAGGGGTCCTGGAAGTCTGTGTGTGAGTGGCAATGTGAGTGCATGTGGTGGCCTGGTGGATGTGACAACATGTGGACTTTGGTGGGTGGAGGCATGGAGCACGTGGCACAGGTGGCAGTGGATTTGGGTGGGTTGGATCCTCAGAGGGGCGCTGCTCCTGCCAGCGGTGGTCTGGATGGGTCTGAGGACTCCTGTGCATGCTGAGGTGTGGGGCTCGTTGTAGGATGACTCACGGGCTTGAGTGAGTGTACATGCGTGTCCGTGTGACGGTGGGTGGCTGCTAGGGCCTCAGGTGTGACTTTGCATGAGGAGGCATGCGGAGAACTGTCCGTGTGTCCGTTTGAACCCGCAGTGGCCTTCCTGGCCCTGGCAGTGCACCCGAGGGTGGCGAACCATCCTTGTCCCTCCTGCTGCAGGATGCTCCAAGGCCCAGGGCTCCAAGGTGCTGGAGGGTCAGGAGTGTGAGGCCCATTCCCAGCCTTGGCAGACGGGCTTGTTCCAGGGTCAGCGACTGCTCTGCGGGGGCGTCCTTGTAGGTGCCAACTGGGTCCTCAGCGCAGCCCACTGTAAAAAAGAGTGAGTGGATGGCTGGGCACAGGTGGGTTGTGGTCTAAGAAAGAAGGGGTTTGAGGACTCAGCTCAGAAAAAAGAAGTCAGACTGGAGAGTCAGAGGGAGGAGGGCTGGGGCCTGGGCCCCTGGTCTGAGGGATGAAGGCTGGGGTCTGACCCCCAGGTCTGAGGGAGGAGGCTGGGGTCTGGAGTCCTGGGTCTGAGGGAGAAGGGCTCGGGCCGGAACTCTTGGGTCTGAGAGAGGAGATTCACCAAGATTCCTGCCTGTATCCAATGCTACCCCCACACCATTCACAGGAAATACACTGTGCGCCTTGGAGATCACAGCCTACGGAGTAAAAATGAGGGGGAACAGGAAATGTCTGTGGCTCAGACCATCCAACACCCTTGCTTCAATGGCAGCAAGAGAGAGGACCACAGCCATGATCTGATGCTCATCCGCCTCCGTGGCCGGGCCTCTTTGGGGCCCAAAGTGAAGCCCATTGACCTGGCACAGCAGTGTGCCCAAGTTGGCGAGAAATGTACCATATCCGGCTGGGGCACTGTCACCAGCCCCCGAGGTAATAGGCTTGGGCCTACTGGGAGGAAGTAAAGGAGCTCTTTGGCCCTGTGGATGCCAAGCCACTAGCAAAGCTTTTGCTCTTCCCCCTTGGAGAAAGGAAAATGACTGCAATGTTGAGATGCAGTGGGGCCCATCATGGAATTCTTAAAAGCCAGCCAGGAGTGGAGAGGGAAAGAGTAAATTAACAAACTGGGAAGCGGGGCTCTAAAAAACTTCCTCCTCCTAAGAGCAGTATCCTGTAGAAGTTTTATTGTGGAGGGTTTTTCTTTTTTTTTCTTCTTCTTTTTGGTGAAACTGGGGTTTGAATTCAGGTGCTCTACAGCTTGAGCCACACCTCCAAGTCCATTTTGTTCTGGTTATTTTGGAGATGGGGATCTCATGAACTATTTGCCCAGGCTGGCCTTGAACCATGGTTCTCCCAATCTCAGCCTCCCAAGAAGCTAGGATTACAAACTTGAGCCAACAGCATCCGGCTTTATATATTCTTCTTAACAGACTTGGGATATATGGACTTTTTTAGGGCCTCATGAGATCAGGATCCTATGAGCTTTCTTCATGTTGAACACAGGACACCTAGCCCCATCCCTTCTTCCCTGTAACCTAGGGATCCAATCCTTCCTCCCCCCAGGACTCAGTGGTCCAGGTCCCCAACACCCTTCCCACTCTAGACCCAGAAGTCTGCAGTTCCAGGAAGCCATTCCTTGGTGACTTCAGAGTCTAGACAGCCCTTGCCTTACTTCTCAGAGAGGCAATGGGGCTCTCTAAGAACTCCTACCAGAGTGAGGCAATGTGTCGCTATAGAAACACGTGCACTAACCAATCAGGTTGATCCATTTAAGCCACAGCTCTTCCCCTTTCTCTGCAGTAGTCCCTTCTTGTCTCCAGCCTCCTTTGGCTCACCTGCAAACAGGGAATCCTCGTCCCATAGGTTTCTGAAGCTGCCTGAGGGTTCAGGTTGCTTCTGTTTTCACCATGGTGTGTCCCTAGTGTTTGGGGTGGTGCCTGGTACACAGGAGGTGCTTGATACATATTTGCTAGGTGGATGAATGAATGATAAAATGAATGAAGGCAACCCTCTTGCAAAGAGCTGTTGTGAGCTTGTAATTTCTGGCACCCTCCAGGTTCAATTGTAGGCACTGGGGTTAGGACATGAACAATCTTTCCAAAGTCTCAGTCCTTATAGAGTTACATGCTCAGTGGCAGGAAATGGAAATAAACACATACATATAAAATAAATATTATACAGTGCTATAATGCAGGCAGAGCATAGTGCTGCATGACTGTAATCCCAGCTATTTGGGAGGTGGAGGGATCATGGGTAGAGGCCAGCCTGAGCAAAAAAGTTAGTGAGACCTTATCTCAAAAAACAAGCCCAGTAAGTGTGGGCCTGAAATTTCAGCTGCCAGGGAGGCAGAGGTAGGAGAATCACAGACCAAGGCCATTCCTGGGCAAAAGTGTGAGACCCTGTTTGAAAACTCAACTAAAGCAAAAGGGGTTGAGAGTGTTGCTCAAGAGGTAGAGCACCTGCCTAGCAAGTGCAAAGCCCTGAGTTCAACCCCAATACTGCCCAAAAAAATTAGATAATAAAAAATTGTGGAAGGCAAAAGGATAGGAAGTGAAAGAGGGGTGGTGTTTTATCTGAGGGCTTCTAGGATAGATAACATTTGAGCAAAGAAGGATTTAGCTGAAATTGAGGGTCTGGGCTGAAGTTGAGGGCCTGGTGGTCCAAGGGCAGGAAGACTGGAGAGAGGGTAAGGAGTGTTACAAAGGGACACCTCCAAGTCTCCCTCATTCGCCTGAGGGAAAGAAATGAAAGATAAGACCCCAGGGAGGCTATCAGCAGGTGCACAGCTTCATTTAATGTGGTGTGACGCGAGACCTGTGCCAGCCAATGGTCCCACACAACTTCGGGTATTCAGAAGGGAGGGAAGATCTTGACAGGATGGGAGGAAAAGGGCTGTTTCCTCTTACAACCTCTTCTCCCTCAGAGAACTTTCCAGACACACTCAACTGCGCAGAAGTAGAAATCATTTCCCAGAGGAAGTGTGAGGACGCCTACCCGGGGAAGATCACAGAAGGCATGGTCTGTGCAGGCAACAGCAATGGGGCAGACACGTGCCAAGTGAGTGACTTCCAAGGCTCAAGTCTTTTTTTTTTTTTTTTTTTTTTTTTTTTTTTGCTGCCGGGGTTTGAACTCAGGGCCTACGCCCTGAGCCACTCCATCAGCCCTTTTTGTGTTAGATATTTTCAAGATAGGGTCTCGCAAATTTATTTGCCTGGGCTGGCTTCAAAACACGATCCTCCTGATCTCTGCCTCTTCAGTAAGCTAGGATTACAGGTGTGAAGCACGGTCTCCTGCTCCGAAGCTCAAGTCTTGATGTGGAAGGGGGGTTGTGGAAGAAGGTGACCCAAGGAGTTAGTACCCAGAGAGATTGTCCCTGTCCCTACACAGTGAGAACTAGGTTCAAAGAAAGCTGAACTCTCTCTGGAGGTCACACAGCAAAGGGAATGGAAGCACTGAATTGTCACTGTCATTTTCCTGGGGACCCTTGCCTGCAGAAAGGATGGGGATGATGAGGGAGAGAGTCTGAAGCCAGAAATTAAACAACTTTCCTGCTTCCTTTCCTAGTGTTAGTTTCTGGAATTTGTGCTGACTCTACCACTGGCCGGGAAGTCTGCCATTTCTCCTTGAGTCCTGACTGGATCCCAAGGATGGCTCCATTCTCATAAAGTTGACTCCGTGGGGAGCGATGCTGCCTTACTTCTTGGCCAGAGAATGGTGTCACTGGCTTCTATGCATCCTCAGGAAGCTCCCATCCTCTTCTCTTGGGACTTGTCATAGAAAAAAATACTCTTTCCTACTGGCTGCAACTCCATCTGGTGGCCTCAGGGCTGACCCCCTGGCTTTATCCCTTTCATGGAAGCTCCACCCCTATCATTAACGGTTGGTCCCTGAAGACAATGCTTTTCTTTCTCATTGGCTAAGAATGGTGTCGTTTCTATCACTGCTACTCTGACAAAAGCAATCTCTCTTGATTCTTCCATAGATCTTCATTCTTAACTATTGTGTTCTTTCCCTCTCCCTCTCCCTTTCCCTCTCTTTTCTCTCTTTATTCTTTCTCACGCTTCTCTCTTTACTCTCTTCTCTCATTGGTCAGGATTCTGGCCCTTGCCTTGCGACATCCTGTCTGTGTCCCTGTACCTTGGAAGCCCCACCTTCTCTCTCCTGATTAGTCGCAGAGAACAATGGTCTTCTCCTCATTGGTTACAGGGGACAATCATGATAAAGAACTGGTATTGAATGCCTGATACAGTAGGAAAAGAAACTTTGTGGGAATTTTAAAGGAAATTCCTGTCTCACTGTTCTTCCCCATCCAGGGCGATTCCGGGGGCCCTCTGGTGTGCAATGGCGTACTCCAGGGCATCACATCCTGGGGTTCAGACCCCTGTGGCCGACCAGAAAAACCTGGCGTCTATACCAACATCTGCCTCTACCGCGACTGGATCAAGGAGACCATGGGCAAAAAGGACTGACCCTAGGAGGACCCCTGAATCCCCTCAATAAAATGTCATTCCTGCCTGACTCCTGGCCTGTGTTTTGACCTGGATGGGAGGGGGCCCACCCTGCTGGCCAGCTTGGGTAGATGAGCTGAGGAAAGCAGGATCCTGTGGGCACTGTGGCCTTTTTGGGGGAAGGACTTGGGTGAATGGGAGGATTATTTCAGGAGACAGAAGACAAGGATGTTCAAATACTCAGGAGGCTGATCAGAGAAAGAAAGACATTTTTTAATTAGCATATTAGTTGTACAGGGGGTATACACTGTGACATTTACGTATGTACTGATATTTGAATTAGAGTCACCCCTCCATCAGTCTCCCTCATTCCCCTCTCCCCTCCTAGCACAATTTCAACAGATTTCATTGTTCTATTATCATATGTGAATATCAAATACATCTACCATACTCACCCTCCTTCACCCTGTCCTTATGCTCTCCCCCTCCCACTGGTATCCCCCCTTCTCCAACCCCCACAGGAAAGATAGTCTTAAAAGGAAAGGACTCTTTGTAGTTTTTCTGAGCAGCGGAAGTGTTACAAACTTTGGGGGAATTTTTTTATTGCCTTTTTTCTCTTTATTATTTTTCTTTCGGTTCTTTTTTTTTCTTTTCTTTTCTTTTCTTTTCTTGAGACAGTGTCTCTCCACATAGCACGAGCTAGCCTTCATTCTCCTGCCTTCACCTCCCGAATGCTGGGATTGCAGATGAGCACTACCATGTCTGGCTGCTCCATTTTTTCAGTTGTGAAATACACATAGAGAAGAATATAGGCAATATTCACAACTGAACACCAGGGAAACCACCAACAAGTTCAAAAACACCTTGAGAGTCCTCAAAAATCTAACCATCTCTTGCAACTTACAGCTGCCTATGGTTAGAGAAAATGAACATTGTGTCCAAACTGAAGTGTCAAATAAAGGGTGTTTGGATTTCCATCAGAGCAAAGGCTAACAATAATAAACTCTATGTTGTATTAGGTAGTTCTTATAAAGACATAAATGGTCACTCTCTTAGTGTCTCTCAGCTTCCATTGTCATAAAAGAGAATGGATTTGCTTTAGTTTACTTTTTTAGCAAAAGAGAATCTGGTCCAGCTCACCTTTTTTTCCTTCAGCAATATCATGGGTCACTGAATGGCCAATTGTTTGACTGAACTCTTGTCAGGTGACCTGTTCTGTCCAATCAGTGGCTATTTGCAGTCCTGTGAGCAAAAACATGGCTGCCCACTGCTGTAGGTCAACCATTCTCTCCAAGGTGTATGGGCCTGTGAGGTGCCTTGCCCAGGTCAATCTCCAACTCTATTGGTCAAGCTTGGACTGGGTCCACCCTCTTGGATCCACCACTGTTGATAGGGAGCAGGGATGGATCTTATTGGCTTGGCCTGGGTCATTCATCCATCCCAGTAGGTGAGTGGGCTTGGAGAAGTATAATTGACAGATAGGAAATGAGGAAGCTTCTTCCCCCAAAGAAGTGGGATGTTGTTCTTGAGGGAAGGGGGGGGGAGGGAAGCCAAGAAGTCAGAGACAATGGGCCATCAGAAGCCAGAGGCTGAGTCAGGAAGTGCTGGAGTCACAGTGTCCAGGATGCCTCTGGGCAGGGCACAGGTGGTAGGATGCTCAGGTGCCAGTTCTCACATGTGACCATGAGCTGTGTCATGAGTCACCAGACGAAGGTACAGGACATAGATCTGAGGGCGAGGGAAGTAAGGAGGCCGAGTGTCTGTGTGGGACTTAGCAACAGGTGCTGGTACTAACCCCAAAAGGCACAGGGACTGGGATTTGGGATTTGGCATCGCAGGGGTACCCATCATTAACAGGTCTAGCAATTCTGAGTCTGTTTTTGGACAAAAGTGTGTGAAAACGGAATAGGAAATTTTCCTTCTCTGACTGTGTCTATGGATTGGTGATACACAGGCTTTAAACCTCAGCATTTGAATGGTGACACTTTCCCCTTAGCTGTGTAACTTTGTTCAAATGGCCTAAGCAGTACCCTCTTTTGCCACACTGGAGTTTGAACTTAGGACTTTCCATTGTCTAGGCAAACTCTCTACCAGTTGATCCACGTCCCTAGTCCTTTTGTTTTTAGTTTGTTTTTCAAATAGGGTGTTTTGCTTTTGCCCAGGCCACCCGTGGACTGTGATCCTTCTATCCCCACCTCCCAAGTTGCTGGGATTATAGGCGTACACCACCACGCCCAGCATGATCTAACCTCTCTTAAACTTCCATTTTTCTCATCCATAAAATGAAGATGACAATCCTCACTTGAACTGATGTGAGGAAGACCAGAGAGACATCTGGAAACACCTGATACCCCACCCTGTAGGTAGTCAAGGGATGGAAGGTGCTTCATTCTCTGGATGGTGGGGTCAGGAGATGATACTTAGTGTCCGCTATGTATCCATCAGTTTTCTGTTCATAATTTTACGTAATTCTCCCAGTGGCCTCCAGAAGTAGACTTTGTTCTTTCCGATGGGCCATCTGAGACTGAGAGGAATGAAGTCACCTGAAGCTCGAACTAGGACTCCAACCTGGGTTGGGCTGGCTTGTGAAGCCATTTTTTGTTCTGTCACACCCATTACAGAATGGCTCAGACGAGCAGACAGGACTGAGCATAAATGAGGTGGATCTGTGGGTGCCAGATATTTGCAAAGTAAGGACCTCCTATGTTTCCTGGACTGAGCTAGGTACTAAAAACAAACAAACAAACAAACAAACAAACACAGCAGTCAACACCAGACACATATCTTTCACTCAGGAAGACCAGCATTTAGTAACAAAGCCAGATTAAATAATTAGGACTATACCTTTCAGCCTGACAGATATGCAAAGTATTTTTAGTGACTTAGGAGTGAATAGCAGGGCTTCCAGTGACAATATCTATTTTCCTTTTCTATCCAAATGCTGATGAGGCATAGCACTGAAGTGAGGGGTGAGAGAATCCAGGGATGGAGATTGAAGCTGAGATAACAAGCCAGAAGTCTTGCTCAAATTCCTCTCTTTGGAAGGAAGCAAGAAAGAGCCATGCAGGTTGTCAGGTCATGGGGCTGTGAGGTCACATGACCTAGGGTCTGTCCCTGCTTGATTTGGGAGCCCAAATCAAGAAGGTTGACATTCCTTGGGGTCAAGGTCCCACTGTGAACCTGGCAAAGCCAGGACTCCAAATTCTGGGATCTGATTTTGGATTCAATGGGAGTAAATATCCTAGGTTTATCAACTTGGCTTGAATGTTAAGTGGAGTTCACTGGCAGACTTTATTCCAGAGTTTGTGCAAAATGAAGGATCAAAACTGTAGAGCTGAAGAAAGGACAATGGAGTGGGAGAAAGAGTTGAAGATAGAGATGAGAAGGGAATTTCAGGTAGGAATTGAAGATGAAAATAGGGTAAGGTGAGGCAAAGTGTTACAGCTGGTGTTGGATGGCTGTTAAGATGAGTCCTAGGGAGGATATCAGCCAATATGGACTCCTGGAATATGACTCAGAGCTGTGCACAGAGAATATTTGGGACAAGCCATGGTCAAGCCTAGTGTTGGGGTCAAGGTTGCGTTTGACTTATGGTCAGGGGATCAGAACTCAGATCAAGACTGAGCAATATGGTTAGTTGAGGTCTGGGTCCAAGCTCAAGTCAGGAACTTGGTCAAGGTTTAGGTTCTGGGTTTGGGTGAAAATTGGGGTTGGTCAAACATGAAACAGGATTTAGGATTAGGATTTGAGGTATGAGTTGAGGTTTGGGATAATCCTGGAGTTGTGTCAGGATTGGTGGTAGTTGATGTTAGAGTTACGTTCAAGGTCAGAATCTCAAGTCTTTTTCCTCCTGTGGGAAGCAGTATACCACTTGACCATACCTTCTTCATGAAGGGACCCCATCCATCCAGCAAGAGATGAAGTTGGAACATCCCCTTTTCTTCCCCACAGGCCTATTCACCCCACTGCCAGTGCCCATGGATTCTTTCTCCTAAGAGCATTTTAAATCTACCTACTTAGCATAATCTCCAAGTCACAATGCCCTTATACAAGTCACCATTCTCTCTCACCTGGACAAGAGCATTAGCTTCTCTTTTTCCCTGTCAGTATTGGATTTCGAACTCAGGGCCTCACTCTACCACTTGAGCCATGCCTCTAGCCCCTAGCAATGACTTTTTCTGGTCTCCCAACATCCTCACATATTCCCAAATCTATCCTTCTAATAGCAGTCAGAGGGACATTTTGAAAGTACAAATCTTGGCCCAGGTGTGGTGACACACATGTATAATCCCAGCTACTCAGGAAGTAGAGGTAAGGAGATCAAGGTCCAAGGCCAGCCTGGGCAAAAGCACAAGACCCTATCTGAAGAACAAACTTAAAACAAAAGGACGGGGGTCATGGGTCAAGTGGTACAGTGCTTGTCTATAAGTGTGAGGCCTTGAGTTCAATCCCCAATACCATCAGAAAAAGAAAATACAAACCTTGTTAGGTATTCCCCTGACTAAAATTCAAGTCATTCTCCATTGTCTGCATAGTAACGTCAGACTCACGATGACATACAAAGACCTTCATGGTCTGACCACAGTCAGTCTCTAGTTTTGAGATGCATACCAAGCCAAGGGCCTTTGCACATGCTGCTCCCTCTACAAAATATACGACCCAGGCTCCTCCCATGTTTTTCTAGTTAATACTTACTATCCTTTCAACTCTCATTGTCACTGCCTGGTCACAACCCCCTGTAAAAGCTTTTATAATAACCTGTACCTGTCTAATGTAAAATTAGTTGCAATTTTACATTTCTTCATTATGAGTTGTTCGTTATTCTTCTACGTAGGACTGTCAGCTCCTGAGAAAAGAGCCTCTATCCGGGTGTGTATACCTTCCTGTCCTCAGTAATTTACTCAGTGTGGTATACAGCTGGTGCCCAATACATATTTGCTAAGTGTATGAAGAGGTGGAGTCTGAGACAGGATTTGAGGTGAAGCCTAAAGAGAGACTGGAGGAAGGATCGAAGCCATAGAAATATGGCTTCAACATATGAATTCAAGCTGGATGTGGCAGTGCACGGCTGAAATCCCAGCACTCAGGAGGCTGAGGCAGGAGGATACTGAGTTGTATTTCAATTCATAGTTTGGGGTCATATTGGAGATTTCTGTTGGACTTCAAGTCAACACTGAGTGTTTGTAAGGATAAATGTGACTCTAAGGACAAATGACTCTAACATAGACAGGACATCTGAAACAGTCATGAGATAACAGCCCATAGCTGCTTCACTCACCAATTTAACAACCTCTTGGGAAAATTACCTCTCTGGCCATCTGCAGAGTTTTGTCTTAATCCACCAGCCGTTTGCCATCATGGTCCCAGGAGGGCTGCTACAGTTCCTGAATCTCTATCCAGAAAGGACACCATCTAGCCTAAGAAAACGACACTTCCAGTGCATCGTTTTTTGGCCAATAAGGAAGTCTTAGAAATGGCCCTGCTCTTCCCCTCACTCCCCATTGGCCAGAATGGCATCATGTCTCCATCTCTAAGCCAATCAGCGATAAAGCAGAGTTTGACTTCTGTATTTGGTTCAACTAAGCTTCTGAATGTGAAGGTAAACGATTATCCTAACAAAAGCTGGGTTCTGAACAAGGGGCGGAAGGAGCGCACGCTTGGGCAACAGTAACACCTGTCATGGGTCAAAATATGAGCCAGGGACAAAATTGGGTTAGGGGGCAGGATTGAGAGTAGAGTGGGCTCAAGGTTGATGACTGAATCACATTTTGGGGTTTGATGCAGAAACAGGTCAATTCCACTCTTAGGAATTTGGGTTGAAATAATAGACCATGGTTCCCATCTGAGTCCTGTTACATTTCCTGCTTTTTTGCCTCAGGCTCTCCATCAATCACTCACTCAGCTCAAGCGACAGTGGCTGCCCTGCCAGCCTGTGCTCTCTGCCTGGATCTCATTACCTCCAAGGAACGCATGAATGCCTCCATCCCCTCCTTCACCCTTTTCCTCTGAACCTCCAGTACCCCTGGCATTAAAATGTTAAGAAAAGTGGTTAGAAGACTCTGTGATATTATTTTGGTGGTACTGAGGTTTGAACTCAGGGCTTTGCACTTACAAAGCAGGCAGTCTACTGCCTGAGCCACACCTCCAGTCCATTTTGCTCTGGTGATTTTTTTTTTTTAATTTTTTCACCATACTGGGGCTTGAACTCAGAGCCTACACCTTGAGCCACTCCATCATCCCTTTTTTTGTGATGGGTCTTTTCAAGATAGGATCTGGAGAATTGTTTATCCAAGGTGGCTTCAAACCTCGATCTTCCTTATCTCTGCTTCCTGAGTAGCTAGGATTACAGGTGTGAGCTACCAGCACCTGGCTTACTCTGGTTATTTTGGAGATAGGGTGTTGCTTTTTCCAAGGCTGATCTGGATCACTATCCTTCTATTTTACATTTCCCACTGTCACTGGGATAACAGTCTTGCACCACCATGCCCAGCTATTGGTTCAGATTGGGTGTCACTAACTTTTTTGCCCAGTCTGGCCTGGAATTGTGATCTTCCCAATCTCAGCCTCCCAAGTAGCTAGGTTTGAAGGCATGAGCCACTCACACCAGCTATTTTATAAAGTAAAAAGACAGAGTCTAATAGACAATATTTGGTACAGACATCTTTGTTATAAAAATAAATGTAGAGAGAAACCTAGGTATGATGTGTTTAGCAATAAATATGAGAACACAGATTAAATTGATAACAGCAGCACTGGTGGAGTTGCTCAAGTGAAAGGCCCTGAGTTCAAACTCCAGTGCCACCAAAACAATAAATAAATTAAAATAAGTTGATAACAGCAAACCTTTAGCAAGGCAGAGTTCAGGAAAGCTGTCCTTTTCAATTTATATTTCTACATGAGGGCTGGGAATGAGTTCACACTCAGGAACAGATGGACTGTAGCCTGTACAAGTTGTCACAGGTTGCTCAGAGTTAAGATGTAGTGCCACCTTGAAAGAGGGTGACAATAAGAAAAGAGCCCAAGAAGAAGACCCAGACTAGAGCCTAGTTCCAGTGCTTTGTCCCTCCTGGAATTCTGCTCCTTCTCCTCAAGCCCATAAACCAAGTCCCTCCCCAGCCTGGACTCCTGGGTTGGAGGGAGGAGGGATGGTGGGGACAGAATGTGTGTGGGTGAACCAGCTGGGTATTGCCTGACCTGGCTTCTTTGGGAAGGAGGGTGTAGTATCAATTGCACTGACTGTCTCTGGGATCCAAGATAACCACTACCGCAAACACAGGAGGAAGAAGGCCCAGTCAGCTCCACCTGCACCCCGGGGCACTGGGGGCGGGGGGCGGGGGTGGGGGTGGTATAAGAGGACTGCCCTGCAGAGGGCTGCAGACACTAGGCTCCCAAATCAGACCGGGAGTTTAGATCAGGTCAGACCCTGCTCAGGTAAGAAGGGGCCTCATCTACAGGGTGTGCACCAGGGAGCTCAAGTTCCTGGGACCCAGCAAGAGGGCTGGGGTGGGGGTGTACCATTTGGAGTTCCTTAGGGGAAAGACTGAAGATCCACGAATAGAAGTTCTAAAAGGACAGGAGCGAGATGGGAGCCTTGCTGCCGGGGCCACTAGGGGACAGAGCACTTATGGGTCTGAGGGAGGAAGTCTGAGACCTGGACACCTGGGCTGAGGGAGGAGGAGCCTGGGGCCGGGACCCCTGGGTCTGAGGGAAGAGGGCTGAGCCTTGAGCCCTGGGTCTGAGCGAGGAGGCTGGGCCTGGACTCCCAAGTCTGAGGGAGGAGGCTGGGCCTGGACACCCGGTGAGGGGGAGGGGCCCCACTAAACTTTTACTTCCTAACCTCTCCCTCTCCAGCCCCAGTAGCAGCGGCGGGTCCTCTTCCAGCAGCTTCTGACGTCATGGCAGGATCCCTTCTCTCGCCTCTGCTATTTCTGCTGCTGTTCTTCGCCCTGGGAACTAAAGGACAAGAAGGTGAGGGCTTGCCCAGTATCTCCACTGGTACTCTCCAAGGAAGCCCTGAGCCTGAACCGCTTCCCCCTGGGATGGCCTCCTTCCCTGGAAGGCTGGAATGTGTGCACCTGAGCCCCTCTCTTCCTGCTTCCACCTGGCCCCAGGGCCTCCGCTGGCTCCAGTCCCTGCATCTGGCGCTCTGCCGCCCACCTCTCCCCCCTCCCCCCCTCCCCTCCTCTGCCCTGCTCCCTCTGCATTTCTCCCTTCTCTCTCTCTCTCTCCTCTCTCTCTCAGTCCCCGGCTGCTGTCTCTGAGGCTGGCTACCCGCTGGGTTTCCATGTCTCCATCCAGGTCAAGATGACAGGGGTGGGGACAGGATTATTGATGGTTACCCATGTGAACAAGGCTCCCACCCGTGGCAAGTGGCCCTGCTCAACGGAAATCAGCTCCACTGTGGTGGCGTGCTGGTGAACGAGCACTGGGTGCTCACCGCTGCTCACTGCAAGATGAGGTGGGTCTGCATGGAGGGCAGGCTGGGCAGGGGGAACTGGCACCTGCAGCTCTCTCTCTGGGTCTCTGTCCCCTTCTGGGTCTCTGTTCCTCTCTCTCTGAGTCTTTGCCCTCCCCCACCTCTCTCTCTCAGTAACCATCTCTCTGAGCTCTGAGTCTATGTTTCCTTCTCTGTCTGGGTCTGTGTTCTCCTCATTCTGGGTCTCTGTCACCCTCAGGGCATCTGTCTCTTTCTCTGTCTCTCTCTTCTCTCTCTCTCTCTCTCTGGGTCTCTGTCCCTGTCTCTCTAGAGCATTTCCTTTTTTTTGCTGTTCTGGGGTTTGAACACTGGGCCTACACTGAGTCACTTCACAAGCCCTTTTTTGTGTTGGGTATTTTCAAAATAGGGTCTTGCAAGCTATTTACCCAGGCTGAACCACAATCCTCCTGGTCTCTGCCCCGAGTAGCTAGGATTACGATTGTGAGCCACCAGCACCTGGCTTCTCTATAGACCTTTGTCAGTCTTTCTCTGAATGTCACTCCTTTCTACAGCCAGTACAATGTGCAGCTTGGCAGTGATCAGATAGGTGATAAGAAGGCCCAGATCATCAAGGCCACAAAGTCAGTCCGCCACCCTGGCTATTCCACGAAGACCCATGCTAATGACCTCATGCTTGTGAGGCTAAGCAGTCCTGTCAAGATGTCATCAACTGTGAAGAAAGTCAACCTGCCCACCCGCTGTGAGCCCCCAGGGACCTCCTGTACCGTGTCTGGATGGGGCACCACAACTAGCCCTATTGGTGAGACAGCCACACTGACCAGAGCGGCTGCAGCCTTCCTCCCTCTGACCAAGGGATCCAGACCCCAGCCTTCCTCCCTCAGACCCAGGAATCCTCACTGAGCCCTCCTCCCTCAGACCCAGCCCCTCCTCGCTGACACAGAATCCTGACCCCTGTTCCCTAGGGTATCAGCCGCCATCCCAGCCCTCAGCACCAGGCCTCTGACGGGCAACTCTCCCCTCTCTCCAACAGCGACCTTTCCAAAGAACCTCATGTGTTCCGATGTGAACCTCATCTCCTCCACGGACTGCAAGAAGGTTTACAAGGACCTCCTTGGCAAAACCATGCTGTGTGCTGGCATCAAGGACTCCAAGACCAACACCTGCAACGTGAGCCCCCGTCCTCCCCAGCCCTGACCCTGTCCGCCTTCTGTCAGCCCTGAGCAGACAAGTGCCCAGCTGCCATGACTGTCCCACTGGCCCAACATCCTTCTCTCTCTCTCTCTCTCTCTCTCTCTCTCTCTCTCTCTCTCTCCCCCTCTCTCTCTCTCTCTCTCTCTGCTACTCAGGATCCGATGCCCATCCAGGGGCTGTGTATCGGTAGAGGTGAGGCAGAGAGTTTAGTTGGATCGAGAATGACAGGGTAGGCCGGGAGGGGGGCACTCCAGACACACAGTGATTGACATAAATCATATTCTAAGCAATGAGACAGTCTCTTGCTGTGCATCCCAGGCTGGCCTGGAACTCTTGATTTTCCTGCCCCAGCCTCCAGAGGACTGGGATTACAGGCATGCACTACTATATCTGGCAATCTGTTTTTTTAATGTACACATGAAGTCCACAAGGAGGAAAAGATCACAATTTTAAATAAACACTGGATTAATTTTAATGACTTTTCTTTTTGTTTGAGGTGCCATTATGGCTCAACACAGCACTGTAGTGAATCTGTCTTTATTTAAAATTTGGATATTGTGTCCGTTAAGGGTGGGCTTTTGCTTTTCTGTTTTTTTTTTTTTTATTTGATTTTTAAAGTAATATTTATTATGATCACTGAGGGTTTTTTTTGTTTTGGGGATTCATTCTCTTAACCCTGGTCCTGGTGTTGGGGAAAGGACTGTCTCTCTTCCTCCTCCTCTTTGTCCCTTCTTCCCCATGTGTTGTCACACTCCCCCACCTCCCTCCATCTTTGGACAATGGTTTCCTATATCTCTCCCTTAGAGTGTAACTTCATTTCTTTTCTGCTTTGTTGTCCGTCTGTGCTGGGCTGGCTCTCTTCTCTCTCAATCCCCTCCCCCATATCCTATCCTCTCAGATCTCAGGGCGGGGGGAGGGTGTGTGTTAGGATGGAAGAGAGATGTCTGACCTAGAGAAAGGGCATTATCTCCTCGCCTGGCGAGGGCCAGCTTCAAGAATGTTCGAGTTCTGCAGTGACTGCCTCTCATACTAGGAATAATGCAGAGTTTTTTGTTATCTTGAAATCCTTAGTGATTTTTGAACAAGGAGCCAGGCATTTTCATTTTGCCCCAAGCCCTGTAACTGATGAAATAGCTCCTAACCCCTGCTTTCCAAGACTATCTAGACCCTTTTTTCTGCACAAGGGTGTACGCATCCATCTCCTGGAGAAAACGCTCCTTTTCCAGGTGGCTGGGAACCCAGCCCTTAAACCAATGGACTCGATCCAATAGTAAATGGCGCAGGAATCCCTGGGAGCCCTGCCCCCTTCCCTGCGATTGGTTCCATCACCCAGGGCTCTAGCCAATGCCTTCAAAGAACCTTGTTTGTCCATTCCAAGATAGTAGCAACTTCTGCTCTCCCATTGGTTCCCAGAAACAATGAGTCTTTTTCATTGGCCAGGGTGGAAGTCCATGGTCTAGCAGAACAAAGACTGAATTGAGGAAATGTATGAGGCTGGGGCTAGGGACTTTGCTCTAAAACCAAAGCTAATCTCTTGCTTTGTTTCCCCCTTCTCCCCAGGGTGACTCAGGGGGACCGTTGGTCTGCAATGATTCCCTGCAAGGTATAGTGTCCTGGGGGACTTTCCCTTGTGGACAACCCAATGATCCGGGTGTATACACACAAGTCTGTAAGTATACCAACTGGATTAATAACACCATAAAAATGCGTGGTTGATAAACCACCAAGAGTCAAATAACTGGGTGCTTCCAACAGAAAACTCTGAGCTGGAGGCATGGCTCAAGTGGTAGAGCCCAGAATTCAAAACCCAGTACCACGATCAAAAAGAAAAAAAAAAATCCAACCAACAGAAAATTCACAGAAATAAGAATGTGGATGACATATAAACACATCCCTGCCTTTACCTTTCCTCAAAGACATATATTGCTAACCAATCAAAATAGCAAGGACTTAAAACCAAATCAAGAAAACAAAACCCTTGGCGCTGTGGAAGACAGAGTGAGAAGAGCACTTGAAACCCTGGAACTGCAAACTGGTACAATCTTCATGGAGAGTGACTGGCCAGAGGACTTAGGACCCTCATTCACGCCCTTTGACCCGGAAATGCTAATCCTAGGGAATGCTAAAAATACAAAAGGTGGAGCAAGGTTTGAATTATCACAACATTATTGTAGAAAGAAAGGTGGAAACACAGACATGTGCCTAATTAGTGAACTGTTTGAATAGTAAGTTGGTTTCCCCAAGGATATTATGAAGCTATTAAAAAAATATTTAGGCGGAATTGTTAGTGTCATGGAAAACTGGTGTGTTATATGATGGGGAGGGAAAATGAAGCTACAAAGATGTATGCGATGCCAGCTATGTGAGTGAAATAGGCACAGAATAAAATCCACAAGGACAAGCACAAATTATCTCGAGATGTCCTCTCCCTTTACTTTCCTTTCTGTGGATGTGCACTTTCATCACCTAGGAAGGAAAGGGGGAGAGCTGTGAGGGTGTAAAGTTGCAGGAAGAAGACGCAGCCTCCTGAGAGCTAGAAGTCCAGGCCTCAGCTTCCTCCTTGAGGCTGTGGAGTTAGGCTCTAGATCCTCCTGTGTCAAAGCAATGGGCCCAGGCCCAGCCTCCTCCCTCAGACCCAGGGGTCCAGACCCTAGACCTCACTTTCTCTGGGCTGGAAAGAAAATTGATCTGGTTTTGAGCTTGGCACTGCTCAGTGATGTGTTTCTCTTCATCCTGGATCTCAGTTTTTCTCATCTTTAAAATGAGAGCCAGATAAAGGGAAGGACATGCCTACCTTATCAGGGGACAGGGATGTCACTGTTTTTGAGTACCTCACAAGTGACAAAGAGGAAGGAAAAAGGGGGTTTGGATGACGGATGGACAGAATCAAGGTTCTACCAAAAGTGAGCCATCAGTATCTGGACCCCAGGGGAAGATGATGGCTGAGAACCCGGGTAAGTGGGTTCCTGCTCCCGATGGCAGGGAAGGGGCCCCTGGGAGAGAGAAGGGAGGAGTCTCCTGTGACTCAGAGCCTGACCACACCCCAGCCACTTGCCATCAGATCTTTGGGCAGTCACACTTCAGACAAGGCTGACAGAGGGATCTTCTTCAGCCCAGGGCCTGTCCTCATACCTGTCTTTCCTGTTTCTCTCCCAGAATCCCCGCCAATATCCCCAGGTCCCTCCTCTCATCTCTTCTCCCTCAATGTCTTCACTTAACCCCCTCAGCCTATCACACCCAGAAGTACTGAAGGCCTCGATCCTCCATGTATAAGAGGCCAATTCACAGCACAGGTCCTAGCCTTCCTCCCTCAGACCCAGGGGTCCAGGCCCAGCCCTCCTCCTGAAGACCCAGGGGTCCAGGCCCCAGCCTCCTCCCTCAGACCCAGGGGTCCAGGCCCCAGCCTCTTCCCTCATACCCAGGGGTCCAGACCCCAGCCCTCCTCCCTCAGACCCAGGGGTCCAGACCCCAGTCCTCCTCCCTCAGACCCAGGGGTCCAGACCCCAGCCCTCCTCCCTCAGACCCAGGGTCCAAGCCTAGTTGTTTCTAGATGCTCTGATCAGATCCACATTGGGGGGAGGCATCAGGAAGGTGGGAGTCAGTAGAAAATAAGACCCATTTTGGCCAAATTGTGGGCAACTGAGTGGTTTGGAAGAAGTGGGCTTATCTGTCATCCACTTTTTATTATTTTTTGACTTACAGATGATGTCCTGACATCTTAAAAATGTTTTAGAATGTCAACCGACAACAGTAAAAGTTTCACAAGAATTTTAAAAAGCCAACAAAAGCAAATATCTAAAAGCCTGACTCAACTGAAAATTAAGTACTTGTTAGAGTGATTTTTGGGGTTTGATTACAGATGCTTCTGAGAAGGACAGAGACTGTAAATAACAAGACTTAGAACAGCCATGGTTATAATATGAGAAGTCGCTTAGGAATTGTGAGAACATCTAGTTATTTTTAGAGAACACAGCATTTTAGGAAAATAAGGATGACTGACAGCATTACAACAGCAACACGAGGTGTTCCTTGCTGCAACTGGGAACACATGGACCCAAGCCTGTAAAAGTCTAGTGTGGCTAATGGTTTTGTTTTGGGGATCATGGTAAAGGTTTTGTCTTAAGTTTCATGTTTGAGAAGGTGTACATGTTTGGGGAGTGTAAGTACACTACAAGGAAGCCAGCAACAATCCACATTAGTTACCTAGATGTCAGATATATGCCTTGACTTAACATTTTTTTTTTAGGAAAATTTACATTTGGGGCTAGGTAAGATATATAGGGATATGGCACTGATAAGTCAAAACTTTAGATCTCTTACAAGTTATTAGGACAGTGTCTGTGATCCCAAATAGCCTTAGTTCCTATTGCACAAGAACATTTCATGTATACAGTAACACTCATTTGGCTGAGATGAATACAGGCCCAGTTTTAAGTAGCAGGATTGCCCAAATGGCAGGGTTTTTCTGAATGTTGCTGGTTCCAAACAGCAGAGCTGCCAAAAATTTTATTAACCATTTTATATGTCAAAGGTTCAGATGTAATGCTTTTGGGTAAATACATATATTAAACTGACACACTTTTAACTGTGCAAATGTTTGTGCAATATTTAGATAAAGTCTACACACAGCTCCACATGCTTTTAGCCACAAATCTATAGTACACTAATTGTGTTAGAATTACTCACAATAACAGTTGCTTCATCGCACAGTTTATAAGGCACTCATTTAAGAGACCTTTCCATAAACAGATATTTCAATGAACTCTGATTTAGTGTAGGTTTAGTTTTTTCAGCTGTTAGAAGTTTGACAAGATGGACAGAAAACACAAGTAATTATTTTGATAAAAATCTTTCCTTAAGACAGTTTCTCAAAGATATTACAGCAGAACAATATTAAGATAGCCTTGTTATTTTATGGACATAGAAAATCAGATTCTAGTTTAACATGACTCTAGAAAATCTTTCAGAAAAGACTTAGATTACAGTCAATTTAAGCACATACTTCTGCTTCTATAAACTTCATCTCTTACACACTTTTAAGACCTACTCAGGACCTTCATATGACATTCTGAACCTCTGATGGTTTGTAACCTTATCCCTCTTTTCCATTTTTGGAAAAATCCTTTTGGACAAACATTTCTTTACAAAATCCTTTCTCATCCCAAATCACTTTCTTTTTAACTTTGTTTCCCCAAAATATACCCAATACCTTTCTGTATTCTTTGTATTTGTTGACTTTCTTTGTAACTTGTATTTTAAAATCATTTTTATAAAAATTTTAAATTTAAATAAAATTGTTTTTCCAGTAAAATAAAATACTCTATTAGCCTTATATTTTTTATGTGTAGTCCCAGGAAGAAAAGCAATCCTAAACTGTTTCTTTATACAATAAGAAATTTGTAAAAAATGTTTGTTGATAGAACTCATTATAAAAGAGTTGAAGGTAAATTACATCTGTAATAGAATACACGGATCAAGGTTAGTGTTCATAAAAATCCTTTTCTTTGGTCCTAAGACAGGATAATTTTTGAATGTCTGCATTTCAGTTAGATCTGGTTGACATAAAATCTTTGAAAAAAAAAAGCTGGTTTTCTTAAAAGTAGAAGTAGCAGCTGAAAAGGTGGGAGACAGAGAAGAGAAACAGTAGTTATTTACATTAATTTTATAATAGGATTTATAAAATCCTATTTTATAAAAATAGGATTTATCCTATTATAAAGATGTTCATATACTCACACATGTGAAAAAGTTTTAAATTAGGCATGCCATGTCAATTTAAGTGTGCATAGTTTTAAGCATTCAAGAACAGATAGCTGGGTACAGTGGCTCATACCTGTAATCTCAGCTACTCAGGAGGCAGAGATCAAGAGGATTGAGGTTCAAAGCCAGCCGGGGCAAACAGTTCATGAGACCCCATCTCAAAAAACCCATCACAAAAACGTTTGATGAAGTGGGTCAAGGTGAAGGCCCTGAGTTCAAACCCCAGCACCGCAAACAAACAAACAAAAAAAACAAGAAAGAAAGATAGTGGCCACAAGTTCATAGGTTTTATTTTTTTTTTTTTTAATTTTAGGAGTAGATTGAGATGTGTCCTATGTTTGTTTGTTTGTTTGTTGGACTTATTTTGGGAGCCTTGATAGCTGAGGCAAGAGTCAATGTCATAAAAGTCAGTCCCAGTCTCCAATAAGATTTAGTCACAGTCATCAGATTTCAGTCTCTAACCAGCCAATCGTCAAAGACATACAATGACAGACACACACAAAACCCGCAAGGTGACACACAAGACGATTACATTCATTTCCCAAGTGCACTCTTAGACATTGTCTTTTTTTTTTTTTTTTTTTTTTTTAGTAGACTATTCTGTTAGAATTTTCCCTACGGGGCAAGATGGTCTTAGTGGGTTTTTTTATTTTTAAGTTGCTTATAGATTTGGTATTTTTCACAGTTATTAGCCCATTTGGAGTCACCTTTTGGTATATGGAGTGCTTTGTGAACGTCAAGAGTTGACCGCTCCCAGGGAAGGTAAATTTTTCCTCATGTGAGTCAGGTGTAAGAGTTGGTGTATTCAGGCGTCACCTCTGAAAGGCGAGAGAAGTAGAAGGTTGAGTTTTTTGTTGTTGTTGTTGGAGCCCTGTGCAATCTTTTAAATTATTATTATTATTATTTAGAGTTAACTGCCTGAAGGGAGCCTTGCCCATGTTGGGCAGGAGGTAGGT